TGTTTTTGCAATAGAAAGAAGCCTAGAAGCTGTAGTCTCTGTCACTGGTAAAGCAGAGTGGCTTTCCTTTGTGGCACACAATTGTTGAGAGGGTTGTGTTTCCTTGGATCAGCAATACTATTTGGAAGAAAGAAAGTTGCTTCAGCCAACATACTGAGGTGTGTGGTGAAAGGTAGCACACTGGAAGTTAATTTGTTTCGTAATTTTTGCTAGTGATGAGGAAAAAGTGCTTGGGAGATTTCCATCTTCCTGTGCCAAACTATGAACCTTAGCTCAAGCAGTACAGTGTCAGCCCCGTCTTTCATCTCTTTCTGGGTATTAAGGACAAGGAATTAAGAGGCCAAGAGACCAAACCTGGTCCACAAACACTCCTTTGGTATCAGAGGACTCCTAGCATAGCTCCTGAATCCTTACCCCCTCAGACATTTTCATCCATGGGAAAAGGAGAAGGAATCTGACGGGGAAGTGTCTCCAGCTTCACCCCTGCATTGAAAATCACAAGAAGAGCTTCAGCACAAGCACCTTATTTCCATGTACCAGCCAAAATATGGGAACATGGCAGCAAGCAGCTGTGGTGCCCAAGGCAGGACTGGGCAAGATCTCAATTTCAGCCCTCCAGGGCTTGCCACAGTCTACACTGGTCCCATAAAAGAAAACTGCAAGTGCTTGGAACTCTGCTTCCTGTTTTGTAAAATTCCTCTGAAAGGTGGGGCAAAAAAAGTTGCAGGAAGGTCCTGCATTTTTAGCTTTTTGTGGGTTTTTCGGGCTGTGTTCTAGAGTAGTTTCTTTCTGACGTTTTGCCAGCATCTGTGCCTGGAATCTTCAGAGAATCCTGCATTTTGTTTTTAAGGAGAATCGCTCTCGGTTTCCAGGACCAACAATCTTAATTTCTAAGTTGGATTTTTCCCCCCGCTTGGGGCTTTGGGGGCCAAATGCCTCCAAAGGATTCCCACCCTTATCCAAGGGGAAACTCTCTGTCAAAACCTCCTCACATTTGTCTTGGACTAAGTGGAAATCTGTCAATAGGCCATGCAGACAATTAATTTATTAATTAAAGCCACAGAGCAACCAGTGATGGGCAAGAAATAGCCCTACAGATGTTAGACTACAACCCTCCCCAGCACTGGCCATTGTAGCCTATGATGAAAAGCCATGGAGCTGCTATTCCAGAACATCTGGAGGGCAGCATTTTGCCAACATCTATTCTGCAGAGCTGTGGATATTCTGCAGTGATTCCCAAACCTTGGTTGACCAGATATTTTGGACTTCAGCTCCCAGAATCTCTGACTTTTGGCCAAGTAGGTTGAGGCTTCTAGGAATTAAAGTCCCAGACCCCCGGAAGACTAAAGTTTGGGAATCACTGCTTTATTGGATGCTCCAGATCTCTATCCCCATTCCTTGGAATAAGCCTGTTTTGTTTGTGATTGCTACAAAGATCCTGGCAGACTGAACTGGAAACCTTCCATAAATACAGGGAGTTCATATCAATGGGAAAACTCCTGTTATACATCTCTATTTTTATCTAAACCATGTGAGGCATCTGTAATTTAAGAGAGAACTGGCAAACCTTAAGGAGTGACAGGCCTAGAAATAAATTCTACCAAATGAGAAGTGAACAATTCTCAGAATAAACAAATTAGATGTCAGGTTTGATCCAACTTGATGTTGCAATTGTCTAGTTTTATAGATACTCGGGCATGATCATATCTAACAATTAAGAATAAGGAATTTCAATCCCTTAGTCAGGCAGCTGACAAATTAGCTTTCTTCCTGGAAACAATTAAACATGTCCCAATTTGGCTAAACGGCTGCCATCAAAATTATGTCCATCCCAAACATTTTCTTTCATGTGCTCCAATTCTGATCCTGGCAGCTCTGTTTAAAAAATGGCAGAACATGTCTAAGTGTGCCAAGTAGCTTGTTGGCAGAAGCATTTTGAACAGACATGCAAAAGAGGAGGAGGTTTTGTTTCTTCTGAACCTCAAAACATATTCAGATTAAATTGAAATAAAGGATCTGACAATGACAGACTTTACTATCTCTATGGAATACTGTCTTCTGAGGCTCTTTACTTTCAAATGATAAGGATTTCATGGCGAATGGAGACTTCAAACCCTTTCTGAGAGGCCACAATAATCGTGGAGTTCTTCAAAGATGGATGCTGAAAAGAAAAATAAATGACAGGTTAACTGTCTTGCTCTGATTTGTGTAATGGAGTGGGAGAAGAAAGCATTGGGAAGGGAATCATGTCTCCTTTGCATTATCACTAAGCCAAAGACAACAATTTTATGGCCGTCCAGATACTGTTAGACTGCAACTCCCAACAGCCCCAGTTAGCCAATGGTGAGAAATGTTGGGAGTTTCAGTTCAATATATAGAGGATCACCTCATTCCCACTCTGATCTAGGCCTAAATCCAACTGTTAGTTCCAAATAGAGTAGACCCATTGAATTAATGAGAACTTGGTCAAGTCAAGCCAGGATGGTATAGTGGTTTGAATGTTGGACTAGGACTCTGGAGACCAGGGTTCAAATCCCCCACTCAGCTACAGAAACCTATTGGGCAGGTCACACCGTTTTAGCCTCAGAGGAAAGCAAAGGCAACCCACTTCTTGCCAAGAAAATAGGTTCACTTTAGGGTTGCCGTAAGCCAACTTGTAGGTACATAACAACAACAACAACAACATGGAAATTCCATTGGTTAAAAAAGGGTCTAATCTAGTTGTGACTAAAAATTGGTTTATTGACTATAGTGAATTATGGTCCAAAACACACTGCAGAAATAATCCTGTTTAAGACTTAACTGTCCTGGCTCAATCCTAGGAAATTCTGGGTTTTTGTGGGACATTGAGCCTTCTCCGTCAGAGAGCTCTGGTGCCACAATAAACTACAATTCCCAGAATTCCCTAGCACTGAGCCAGGGCAGTTAAAGTGGTCTCACACTAGATTATTTCTGCATTGCATTTTGGACCTATGTTCTCAAACGTTAACTCAGAAACATGCTTATAAATTTACTTTTGACTTAAACGGCAACCTTATCATAGGGTTTTCCTGCCAAGATTTATTCAGACAATAAATTTGCCAGAAATACTGATTGGAGAAAATAGGTTGATGAGAGAAAGGTGGACCAACTGCACCACTGTTTTGATTGGTAATATTCGGAGAGTTGGTGTGGTTTCAAGATCAGGGCCCTTTCACACTGTACAACTATGGCACTATAATTCAGCTTTAACTGCCATGATTGCAACCTACAGTATTTTGGGATTTGCAATTTAGGGAGGGCAATTTATAATTCTCAGCCAAACAACTCTACTGACAAAACAAACTACAAATCCCAAGATTGCAAGGGATGTTATGTTGGCAAATAAAAGTAGAACCATAGTGTTGGAATTGTGAAGGTGGCCAGGACTGTGACAAAGAAGATAAGCCAAAATTTCAGCCCTAGATTCTGGCTCTGAGGCTGTATCCACACTAAATAACAGAGTATTTTATTATAGAGTATATTATTTAGAGTAAATAATAATAATAATAATAATAATAATAATAATAATAATAATAATAATAATAATAATAAATTATAGAGTTTATTACTTAATAATAATAATAGATTATTTTATTATAGTTTATTATTTAAATAATAATAATAATAAATTATAGTTTATTACTTAATAATAATAATAGATTATTTTATTATAGTTTATTATTTAGAGTATTTAAAAGTATTTAATTATAGAGTATAATATTTAGAGTACTAAATAATAATAATATTTCATTGTAGAGTATATTATATAGAGTACTAAATAATAATAATAGAGTATTTTATTATAGTATATTAGAGTACTAAATAATAATAATAATAATGGAGTATTTTGTTAGAGTATATTATTTAGAGTACATAATAATAATAGAGTATTATAGAGTATATTATTAAGAGTACTGAATAATAATAGTAATAGAGTATTTCATTATAAATATATAATTTAGAGTACTAAATAATAATAATAATAAGTAGTAGTAGTATTTTATTATAGACTCTATAACAGGGGTAGGCAACCTTTCCCCTTTAAGGGCCGAGGGACTTCAGCTCCCAGAAGCCTCAGCCATGTTGGCCTATAATAGTCCCATGTTGGCCAATAGCTCCTGGGATTCTGGGAGCTGAAGTCCCTCGGCCCTTAAAGGGGAAAAGTTGCCTATCCCTGCTCTATAATAAACATTATTTAGAGTACTTATACCCCGCTCTTCTCCCACAAAAGCTCCCAGAGCCTTTTACAATCTAAAAAGAGAAGGCTAAATCTCTCATCAAAACTACAATTCCCAGGATTCCATCGCATGGAGCCAGGGCAGTTAAGGTGGTCTCAAAGTGGGTTATTTCTGCAGTGCGGATCCAGCCTTAGAGGTTTCCCCGAGTCTTTGCGCTGTTGCTCTTTGACCAAAGGAAGGCCGGCGGCCCTTGAGATTTCCCCTCAGTTCAGCGCAGGACTTTCTTGTGGGCGTTTATGGCGCTCTCCTTCCCCGGCCTCCTCCTTCCTCTTCTTCCTCCTCCTCCTCCTCTTCTTTGGGGGAAAGGGCGGAGTCGGGCGCCATTTTGTCTGCCCAGCCTTCCCGCCTCCTTCCCCGCGAAGCCCTCGGCCTCCGGTTCCCTTCTGTGGGCGGTAGGTGGGGCAGGGCTAGGCCGAGGCCTGAGGCCTCAACCACACACTTGGGCCTCTTCCTGTCTTCCTTGGAGGCCTCACAAATGCCTAGGCCGCTTCCTGCAAAGGTTGTTGTGTGCCTTCAAGTCGTATCTGACTTAGGGGGGTTGCAGACTGCCAGAAATAGTGCAAATTGAG